ATCCAATTGTTGTCCAATGCCACGGTTTCGTAGCAAGGGTTGGCATTCTCTTGCCACACATAGGCTGATAGGCCCCAATGATATTGTCATGGCCCATGGAATCAAGGGGCAAGTGGCTCCCCTGGCTCAGCAGCTAGGTTGCAGTTGTCGCTCGACTGTTGCCTCGTCACTGAAGTGACATGTCGGTTCACCAGAGTTAAGGACACGCATTATGGTAGCACGTTGTTTGCTGAGACCGTCTAAGGGCGACTCATCTTGCAGCGAATCCTGAAGCACCATGGCAAGCTTGCTGCCGGTAGGTTGACCAAGTGAAGTCCCAACGTACAACTGATATGTACGGCCCCCTCTGCAACCGGCTTCTATCCTTGTTTTTCAACCCCCACCAAACGTGTTCAGCATTTCATCATGCTCTGGCTTTCACACTCCCCTGAACAGGTTTATCCTTTACCTGTTTATGCGTGACAAGGGGCAGTACGGCAGTGTTGGCTTCGGTTGGCTATCCCTAATTAGTCACCAGTCCCCAAGCTGACCTGCTGTACACTCGATTTGGCTGGGAGCGACCTTCTCCATGTTGGATCGCAGCCGTTGCCGCGCTGCATGGACTGGGATTCAAGATATGTCATGTCACCTATATGCCTTAAAATTTCATGTCGTAAAGTGGTTTGACGCAACTCCATGGAATGGCTATGAACCAAGTCAATTGCACATGCCTCCGCGCGGAAAGCCTCGCTGCGCATGCTGCTCAACAATCACAGAGCCTCGATATGTCCAACAAGTACCCTCTGAGCTCTCTAGACTTACTCCCGAGCAAAGGCAGCGTTTTTGCGAGACTTTCCTGCCCCATCGTTTTCCGGCAGCCGGCCCTGCCCAGCCGGCAGGGTGGAAGGGCGACCACTTATGCGTGAAGCATTAGAATGGACCTTATCATGCAAATGGCGGACAAGGTGGACTGGCTGGACGGCTGGATGGATGCGGCTGAGGCCAATCGAGTTGCGGGGGTTCTACATGCCGGACCCGCCGCGACACAAGCGCAGCTACGACGTCAAGGAGCTGGGCAGCAACCGGCACTGGGGGAGCAACTGGGGGAGTGGCGAGGCCGACACCGTGGACTCCGACCTGCAAGACCGGTACATAGTCAAAATCGAAGCAAGTCACGATCACATCATCAAGTCGGCAGCGGATATGTCCGTGCGACAGCACAACAGGCTGCGTGGGTTGACTGCAGGAAAGATGTGACCCCTTGTCCTTCACACTGCATGGGGCTAGACATGAAGAAACACTTGTTGAGCCTGACAAGTGTTTTCTGGAGAAGGCGGTTCGTGTCCCGGCATTATTGTGCATAACGCGTCGTTGGCTGGGGCGAGCTTTGCAAGTGTGGGCGAGTGATGGGACAGCATGCTTGGCAAAACAGCGAGCCGAATTAGTGGGCTGACTGAAGAGCACTGCAGGCGGATTGCGGACTGGAATAGTTGGACTTTACTCGTTTCCCGCCTCGGTGGAGCTCGTGGCTGAACTAATGCCAAAAGGTGCACGTCGGGTTGGTGTGTTTTTCCACTGACCCAAGGGTCATTTTGCGGTCCGCTTGTGCAAGGGTAAAACGATATGTAAGCACCGCTTGCATTTAATTATGTATAACACGTGTATAATGTTACTTTGGCAATGTTTGGGCGCTCAGGAGGGCGGCGGCTGGCCCGTGCTGGTCGGCTTTCCGCGGGACAGCCAGCGTAGGGACGGCCGGAATACCCCCCCACACGCGACACCCCGTAACTAAGGGTGCGCGATGCGTGTTTACGCCAAAATTTGGAACATAAGCTCCTTGCTATATATATATATATATAACATGTCCACAAAATTTCAGGGTAAACACGCACGGCGCGAGTACCGAAACAACATCGCGAAAAAGTGTCTCGGCCGTAGGGCCCAGCTTGGGGACTAGTGCTAATTAGTTACGTGAGCGATATGTTCTATTTACATGTGCAACACAATACTATTTTTTATGTGTTAAGATAAGCACTTAGGTGTTTCTCGCATGCTATGAACTCCTTCTATGAGGTGTTCCAGATGCTTGAACCGTGCCTTCTGACCTTGGCCAGCTCTCGCAGGATGCATCATATATATCGCTGATCTTTTGAATTCTCAGTCAGCGAAACAATACATTGACTTCTTTGCTTGTGGAAATACAACGCTTCTACAGCTCCGAGTCCTGGTTTTTCCTGGCAGTTGGGTAAAATGGCACCGCTCAGTTTTATGCTGCTGCTTATGTTGCTTATGTTGCTTCAATGCTAGTTTGAGTGCTAGAGCTTTGTCACGGCAGCGCTGATCTGACACAGAAGGGCAGATCTTTGATGGAGTATCGATGAGGGGCTCCAGATAGGTACGTATGCCTATTGAAGATGTAATTATCTGACGCTTGACCCAAAGCGCCCGTCCAGCTAGGCACCTGCCGCGACACAACGACTAGCTCCTGGGCTGTGGCCGTGGACACGGTCGAACAATCCTCGATACGACATCCCCTCCCAGTTCCAGGTGTAAACATAGACATCCTACTGTAACCAGCCTAATTTCCATCACATCTCGCTATTTCCACACTTCTAAGCATATCCATCTTTGCCTTTGCTTTGCCACTGGTCTCTTTGCCATGCCACTGGTCTCAGGCATTGGACCAGCAGCGGATCACTATTGAACCCACGGCGCCAGAACCTCCCACCTTCGTAATCAGTCTGTCATTAAGTGGCTAGCAGCAGAGCCAAACCCTCACCAGACAGTCATCACCCATATCCACTCTGTTATATTTTCATGATGCCCTTCACTGTACAGGTACATGTGCTTGACAGGTCACCACTTCAGCCAGGCCAGTGGATTGTGAACACTGACAATGTGTGTATGTGGTAGCAGTAGCAGTCACACCTAGATGGCAGGGTCATAGATTGGATGGCACACACAATGCTGATAGTGGTGGGCATTTGTCACTGAGGTGCATGCCCATGAAATCTATGACCCTGCCATCTAGATATGACAGCTACCACATACACACATTGTTGGTGTTCAATATCCACTGGCCTGGCTGCAGTGGTGACCTGTAGAGCACATATAACTGTACAGCAAAGGCACATCTTAAATATACAGTGGAGTGGATATGGGTGATAATATGGGTGATGATATGGGTGATGACTGTCTGGTGAGGGCTTGGCTCTGCCGCTATGGCAGTCACTTGATGAGAGACTGGCTGTGAAGGTGGGGGGTTCTGGCGCCGTGGGTTCAATAGTGATCCGCTGCTGGTCCAATGTCTTCTCCACGGTTTCGTAGCAAAGGTTGGCATTCTCTTGCCACACATAGGCTGATTAGTCCCAATGATATTATCATGGCCCATGGAATAAAGGGGCAAGTGGCTCCCCTGGCTCAGGTGTAGTATCCTGGTATCATGGGATCCTGAAATCCAACTGGCTCATTGAGGTTCACCAGTGGGCTTGGGGCTGTGGCCGCAGCTATGATGGTGCTACTTGACCAGGGTGCTACTTGACCGGGGGTCTGCACTGTGATACTGTGACCAGAAAGGTGGCGGTATGTGTACATA